GAGCTCATCGAAATTTGTGTCAAAATCCTTCATACTATATCAACTCATTTTTTCGTCGACTTTTTCCTTCTTTCTTTGCACAATCACTTTGTATCACGACGCTGTTTTCAGCACGTCGGAAATTTGATTGAATTTAAATTTATTCGTTCATTAAATTCAATCAAAGGTTATCGTTTTTGAAGCAATTGTTTTGTTTACTACAAGAAATTTTTGTTGACGTTTCACATATAGAGAAAATCGGTGCAATGACAGTTCTCACAGCGCTAGAAAGAGATGAATAGATGGCGTTGCAATGTGTAGAGTTTCCAATCGGTTCAAAAAACATTCAGTTCATTTGAATAGACGGGAAACGGTTTATTTTTCAATCTTCGATGATTTTTCTTAAAGAAGAACTATTTCGGTATGATAAATACACTTTTGGAAAAGAAAACACCCAAAATTTAATTTCAAAATTTTCTTGTGAGTAAATCATTGACAATGCGTACCGTACCATCTTGCTTCTTTTGTTGAGAATAAAATGCACAAAGAACTTACAGAAATTCAATATCGGAATAACAAATAATAATGAGAAAAAAATGAACTGAGATTTGATTTGTTACATGATATGTTCATGGAAACTAACCGATGAATGCTTTTCGGAATTAAAACACTTCGTGTGTCCAATCAATTATGAAAAATGACAGAGATTTATTTCATTTTGGATATAAATATAACGACACGGCTTGAAGCAAAAGTCAAAAACGAAAAATGAAGTGGTTGGTCCTTAGAGTTTTATCGTTTTTGGGCCTCAGCATTTATGTTGAAGATTATGAATTTGAAAAACGCTATGGAGCAATTAACGAATCTCATATGCTTGGTTGGCGTACCATCTCAGATGGTCCATCTGAGAAATAGGAGCAGATAAATATGAAGCTACAATCGAAGTAGATATAAAATTATCATTAGAAATTTTGCAATAAATTTAACATTGATTTTAATCATTTCATGTAGTGCTAAAAAGTAGTAAAGGTAATGTTCGACAAAAAATACAATTTGGATGTAATTTTTGGTTAAAACCTACTTTTTTTCTTTAAATTATTTTTCGAATTACTTTTTCTCCAACTATTATTTTTGAGTGAAAAGTATTTGAGAAGAGTGATTTCTTCCTCAGTTCAAAGTTATCAAGGAAGTGTAAATTCTTCATGAAAATTTAACTATTTAGAATTATGTCACTACTAGTAAATAAGAATAAGTTCATTCGTCAAATGTCTACGAAAACAATTCGTTGAGTTTTATTACATTTGTCTTTGAGTTTGTTTCACTCTTTTCCGAAGGAAATAGCTTTGCAGAGAAAAAATTCAATGGAGACAGACGACAATCTTTTTCCATTGGCAAACAGCAGTTATTTCTACACGTGAATCGAAATTATATCAACCTAAATCGTTTATCGGCAAATTTTTATCGTGGATCGAATTACCACGCGTCATTTTCAGGCTTATAAGTTCTGTGCATTTGTATTGAACAACCTGTTTTACATATGTCATTACTATGATTACTATTGCTTCGTATGTTTCAATTCTTCTGGCTTCATCAAATGGTTATTCACCTATGAATCATACACCATACATATCACAAACTCCATAACACACTCAACAAAAGCATATAATGGTCATGATTGTCCATGAGCAGTACAATTAAATGAATGTACTTCGGTTCATACAAATTACCGCTCATAATGCATTACCTTAATTGTTTTATTGATTTTTTTTTATGACTATTTGTGTCATAATACTTTTTTCGTAATTGAAATGAAACAGAATATCATTTCACTAGAACCGACATAATATTGTTTTCGTTATGAATGGAAAGGAATGTAATTGCTGCGTTCATTTTCATCATTGTTTACATTTACAAATAGCTCATTCCAAATGCTTGGGTTGTTTGACCCGTCATTTTGGCGGCATTCTATTGTCAGAATCAAGCAAAATAAATTATACAAATCAATGTTGTTGACCGTGCTTAACCTTTTTCCACTAGCGATCAGAGGTCCTTTCGCCATGAAAAATGCATTCATCGCAGGTTCAGCGTTATCATAACCGTGGACACCGTGAACGGTTGTATTCGGATCTGGAAATCAATATAAAAATTGGCCTGAATATGGAAAATCAAAGCATACAATGGAATATTTACATCGATAAAGATCGTGAAACCCATAATTGATATCAGCCACGGTAATAATTGGCCCCATGCGCCTCGCGTTGTTTGCATGCCAACGAGTCGGAAGATTCTCTTGATTGAACACTTTGAAATGACCATTTTGTTGAGCCGCTTTGGTTAAGTTTGTGAATATTTCCTGCTCGACATCTGAATTTAATGAAAGTTGAGGAAAAAAGATATGAAAATGAAAGGTCTATGGATAAGGAAACGTGATAGTTCTCCAACTCACCGTGATCTATTGGTACAACTTGAAACACAGGTGAAGAGCCATACATTTGATATGTTCCATTTTTTAAGAATTGCGTTAGGTCGATTATGTTGGATTTCCCTACTCCCACCATTCCGTGATCTGACAAATGTATGACATTGATGCGATTTTCCAGCTGATACTCAACCAACTTCCGCTGGATGTATCCCGCGAGATTGTCAACTTCGGACACTTTCTCCATTGCCTATTAGAAGCGAGAACATACGGAAATCTTATAAATGAATGATATTGAAATATTGGAAGATTTAAAATCGGGAAATGACTTTGGGTAGGGCGTTTTCAATTGTAGGTTTAATGTAGATTGTTTAGTTTATCATATCATGGTTATTCTGACTGTAATTTCAAACATGGCTTTTGAATCCGCACAACATTAAAGAAAAATATGTACTTACTTGAAGCGAGTCTGGTCCGAATTTGTGTGCATCACTATCGGGTTGCTCAATATACATCATAACCAGATTTGCTGGCGTTTCTTTGTGTGTGAACCATCCCATTACTATATCAACGCGTTCCTTGAACGATACACTTTTGTCTAATTTCATCGTGAATGTACAATTTTTGCCTTTGAACTCGAAATTGCTTCCACTCCACATCATACATCCTGAATGCCCGCCAGCCAGCTCGTTTGCTGTCTAAAGTTATACATTTCATGGGAAAAAGAGTCATTTAATTATGTTAATATCGTAATACAGTAAACAAGTTCGTTTTAACTCACCCAAATCGGTACAATACTTTCATCATAATGGAATAATTCATAGCTGTATTTCAGTTGTCTATGAAGTTTCGAATCATAGTTTGCTTTCCCAAGCACGCTATGGTTTTCAGGATAAAGACCCTATGAATAAAATAAAATAGTTATTCATGAAAAATGAACTGAACTTTATTTAAAATCTTTACGAGCATACACTGTTCGTAACCAGTCATCTATGTTATTCCACATTTAACCAGCTATTCTATTGATTGGCTTGGATTGGCTTTTCTTGGATTAACTACTTACTGTTGCAATTGAAAAGTGGTTAACCATAGTTGTTGTGGGAAAAACGGGCTTCAAGAACTCCGCCGACGTGCCCATTTCACGGAACTGTTCAAGATTTGGCGTAATATTCCAATTCAAATAATCTTGTTTGAACCCATCGTACGAAACAATCAAAAGAGCCGGTTGAGTTTTTGGTGCTTCAATTGTTCTGCATGAACAGTACGAGAGTAATAACAAAATCAATGATTGCAACCCATTCATTGTGACGACTTTACTTTGCAAACTACGGAATTGATTGGGGAGTAATTGAATGA